ACATAAATAGACACTTTTCAAAAGAGGACATTCAGAAAGCCAAGAGACGTGAAAACATGCTCAAAGTCACTAATCATCCGAGAAATGCAAATCAAAACAACAATGAGGTACCATCTCACACCTGTCAGAATGGCTATCATCAACAAATCCACAAAGGACAAGTGCTGGAGAGGATGTGGAGAAAAAGGAACACTCGTGCACTCCTGGTGGGAATGCAGACTGGTGCGTCCACTTTGGAAGAAAGTATGGAGTTTCCTCAAAAAACTAGAAATGGAACTCCCATTTGACCCTGTGACCCCACTTCTAGGAATATATCCCAAGAAACCAGAAACACCAATCAGAAAGGATATATGCACCCCTATGTTCATAGCAGCACAATTCACCATAGCTAAGATCTGGAAACAGCCTAAGTGCCCATCAGTAGATGAATGGATTATAAAACTTTGGTACATCTACACGATGGAATACAATGCTGCTGTAAAAAAGAAGGAACACTTACCATTTGCAACAGCATGGATGGAACTGGAGAGCATTATGCTAAGTGAAATAAGCCAGTCAATGAAGGAAAAATACCACACGATCTCACTCATGTATGGATAATAAAGACAATTATAAACTTATGAACAAAAATAGATACAGAGGCAGAGCTGCCTCGAACAAACTGTCAAACTACAGCGGGGATGCTGGGGAGAGTTGGGGGGCAGGAGGGGGAGTAAGAGATCAACTGAAGGACTTGTACGGATGCATATAAGCACAGCCAATGGACATAAGACACTGGGGGGTAGGGGAGGCCAGGGGACTGTCAAGGGCAGGGAAAAAAGGAGACATGTAATACTCTTTGTAATACTTTAAGCAATAAAACAATAAAAAATAATAATAATAAAAAAGAAGCAAAGCCGCTGTAAATTCAGGCTGAAGCATTTCAAAAAAGATTTCAGAAGAGCCTGGGAATGTAAAAACCGGGTGAGATACATTCGCAAACTTGACGCTGCCTGAGGAAGCTGAGCTGAATAGCATCTCCCCAGGCGCAGTGTGGCACCAAAAACAATAACAGGTCACATG